GAAATCGTCAGAAAGAGAGGGAGACTCTGATAACAGGTAATGTGTTACTGGGTATCCCTTTAGCACGTGATATACTGTACACCAAAAAAAAAAGCACGCTGGCTGTTCCTTTGTTTTGCTTTGTTTTGTTCTTTTTTTTGTTTTGTTTTGATTTGTTTTAATGTTTCTTTGTTTGTGCATTGTGTGAGTCATGGCTATGTTGGGTTTTGTGGTTTGGTTTGTTTGTTAATGTGCATTTTTTAGATATATTTTTTCTATGTTTTATTTATTTTATTATTTTTTTTAAGCAGATACAGCATTTGAGGAAAGATTGTGTTTCCTTACTAATTCGCAATGATTTGTTTTATTTGCAAGTTGATTTTATAACATATATACACACACAACCTTGATTTAATGAATGCAAGTTCATCGCATTGCATGAATCACACTTCAAAGAAAACGAGAATGAATATTTTAAGCATTTTATCTGAAGCAACTGTTGACACTAACCTCAAAATTATATACAAAAATAGCATGAATGAAGATGAACCTGAGGTTTGATAATGCAAGCCATACCTCAGGGAAAGAAAAAAATATTTACACTGCATGGTCTGCAATTCAAGCCTCATCCACACGAAGAGGATTTCCGCTGTTGCACACTTAGGGCAAAAATGTTGAACAATAGTGCAAGGCAGTGGAAAATTATCAACTCTTTCTTACGCAGTAGCACATCACTAACACTTATGTACGAAATATTTTGGAAGAACTTCATTTAAGGATTACAACATTCTGTTAATCATGTCATTTAATTTATGAACATCCTGTTTATTATCACTGATGCAATATGCAGGATCAACATGCAGGAAAATCTTCATCTAGACGAATTATTTCTACGTTAATATCGTTGTAGATATTTCTAAAAGATGTAATTTCACATGATTTTTTTTGGCCAAATTAAACAGGAATTCTAATAAATAATGAGATAGTTACATATATGCAGCACCCTTTGTCTATTTAAACATAAAGCTGTTTATTGCGCAAGGATGACTTGGTATCTCATTCCTCGCAATAATAATAAAAAATATATATGTATTTATTCTTGAAGATAACAGGTTACGATTCATAATCATGGATGCGATCATAATTTAGAAATCTGATTTAGAGAACAATAAAGAACTACCTTTGTTTAAGGGGAAGGAAAGGTTAAGTTCGTATAACTTCCTTTGAAATCGTTTCGGGAAATTTCAAAGAGTTAAACGCAAGGTGGAAGGCTTTGGTTTAATTTGTTTTGTTTTTTTGCTTTGTGTTTTATCTCGCTTTAATTCGGTTTGCTTTTTATTTTGTCTCGTTTTAATTCGTTTTTTTTTTACCTTAATTCGCTGCAGTTCGTTTTGTCTTTTAACTTTATTCGCTTCAATTAATTTTATTTTATCTAAACTCGTTTTAACTCGTGTTAGGGCCTGTTTATTTATCGTAACACATTTTGTTTGTTTCTCGTACCTGTTTTTTTCTGCTTACCTTGTTTTAGTTATCATCTCAACTCGTCCTAACTCGTCTTGCTCCTTACCTTACAATCTTTCAGGCACACCCCTCAATAAAAAGATAAAAAAATAATAATAATTCAATAAAACAAATAAATAAAATAAACTACACCCACTTATCATCAACGCATCGATCTAAACTCTATCATCGCATTCCAGGTACAGCAGCGGCGGGAACTGGGCCAGAGATAACTGTTATCTCAGTGACCGCGAGTACAGGGAACTTGGCAATTACGAACTCTTGCATGACAGGTCCTTTGATTTCTACGAGCGACGTCTGTACGATCGAGAGTGTGGCGTTGGTAAGTGGCATTATGGTTTGCATAAGTGGATTGAGAATTTTAGGAAAGTTGCACAGCGTAAAGTGTTTTGATAAGTGGCGCTATAGTTTGGATAAGTGAGAATTTTAGGGAAAGTGTAAAGTGTTTTGATAAGTGGCGCTATGGTTTGGATAAGTGAGAATTTTAGGGGAGAATCTTTCAGTTTTAGGGAAACTGTAAAGTGTTTTGATAAGTGTCGTTATGGTTTGGATTAATGGGTTGATTATTTTAGGGATGGATCTTTCAGTTTTAGGGAAATTGTACAGTGTTCTGGTAAATGGCGTTACGTTTTTTTTTTAAGTTTTAATTGTTTTGGTGTGTGGTTAGGAACTTTTAAGTTTTAGGTGAATTTTTAAGCTTTAGGTAAGTTGTTGGCAAGTGATAATTATATTGTATAAGTGATTGAGAATTTTAGAAGTGAATCTTAAATTTTAGGGAAGTTTTAAAGTGTTTTGGTAAGTTGTAATTGTTTCATTTGTTTTGTAGGCAGATAATGATTTTTTGTAAGTAAGATGACAGTATTTTTTTTTTTTTTTTTGGGGGGGCGGTTGAAGATAATAGTAAATTTTATAAGTGAGAAAAGAAAGTAATCTGTACATTAAGTTTGTTAAGTTGTAAAGTAACGATACGATTTGATAAAAGGTATAGTGCTTTATTAGTAACAATGTAGTGTTTCCAAACTGACTATGAATTTTGATAAATGATTTGACGTTTTCTGAAAGATATAAGAGTAGAGAAGTGCTCGTTACTGAGGAAGTATATGTATTATAAGTGATTACATGATTTTATAAGTGCTAGTTGGTAAGAGAAAATAGGCTTTAGTAAGTATCAGGAGTTCGGAAGTCTTTTATAGATGGCTTTTAAATATGGCTGAACTCTGACATTGTGGTTTGTTGAGGCAAATCATGCTTGTCAAAAATTGCTTCGTCTTAATAGCATGTCGTTTTTTTGTGTTGCAATTTCTTCAACCTTTTGACCTCCTAAGCAAAGGTTATTAAAGTAAAGTTACTGATGCATTCGGTGTGCCCATTACTCAGTGAACTGTTAATGGTATTTCTGTGATAATCAGCACTATATTGGTGTAACTCTCGCACTCACACATATTTATATAATATATATATATATATATATATATATATATATATATATATATATATATATATGCATATACATATATATAAATATATATACATATATGTATGTCTATATATATATAAACATATATAGATATAAATGTAAATATATATATATATATATATATATATATATATATATATATATATATATAGGCATATACACATACATGCATATATGTGTGTTTGTGTGTGCGCCATCAGAATTTCTATGGCATCATATTCTTTACTATATCATCATTCGCGAATTTTAAAACTGATTTGCGTTAATCCGATTAGAAGACTAATTCTTAGGACTCCCAGTAGAATAGCTGGTATTTAGATAAACTACTTCATATTACCCTATTCATAACATTTTGTAACCATTGAATTTTCCACAGTAAGCACATTTGGTCTTTGGGTCTGAATACGGGAAGCTGGGGGGGGGGGGGGGGGGGGGGGGGGGGGGGGGGGGGGGGGGGGGGGGGGGGGGGGGGGGGGGGGGGGGGGGGGGGGGGGGGGGGGGGGGGGGGGGGGGGGGGGGGGGGGGGGGGGGGGGGGGGGGGGGGGGGGGGGGGGGGGGGGGGGGGGGGGGGGGGGGGGGGGGGGGGGGGGGGGGGGGGGGGGGGGGGGGGGGGGGGGGGGGGGGGGGGGGGGGGGGGGGGGGGGGGGGGGGGGGGGGGGGGGGGGGGGGGGGGGGGGGGGGGGGGGGGGGGGGGGGGGGGGGGGGGGGGGGGGGGGGGGGGGGGGGGGGGGGGGGGGGGGGGGGGGGGGGGGGGGGGGGGGGGGGGGGGGGGGGGGGGGGGGGGGGGGGGGGGGGGGGGGGGGGGGGGGGGGGGGGGGGGGGGGGGGGGGGGGGGGGGGGGGGGGGGGGGGGGGGGGGGGGGGGGGGGGGGGGGGGGGGGGGGGGGGGGGGGGGGGGGGGGGGGGGGGGGGGGGGGGGGGGGGGGGGGGGGGGGGGGGGGGGGGGGGGGGGGGGGGGGGGGGGGGGGGGGGGGGGGGGGGGGGGGGGGGGGGGGGGGGGGGGGGGGGGGGGGGGGGGGGGGGGGGGGGGGGGGGGGGGGGGGGGGGGGGGGGGGGGGGGGGGGGGGGGGGGGGGGGGGGGGGGGGGGGGGGGGGGGGGGGGGGGGGGGGGGGGGGGGGGGGGGGGGGGGGGGGGGGGGGGGGGGGGGGGGGGGGGGGGGGGGGGGGGGGGGGGGGGGGGGGGGGGGGGGGGGGGGGGGGGGGGGGGGGGGGGGGGGGGGGGGGGGGGGGGGGGGGGGGGGGGGGGGGGGGGGGGGGGGGGGGGGGGGGGGGGGGGGGGGGGGGGGGGGGGGGGGGGGGGGGGGGGGGGGGGGGGGGGGGGGGGGGGGGGGGGGGGGGGGGGGGGGGGGGGGGGGGGGGGGGGGGGGGGGGGGGGGGGGGGGGGGGGGGGGGGGGGGGGGGGGGGGGGGGGGGGGGGGGGGGGGGGGGGGGGGGGGGGGGGGGGGGGGGGGGGGGGGGGGGGGGGGGGGGGGGGGGGGGGGGGGGGGGGGGGGGGGGGGGGGGGGGGGGGGGGGGGGGGGGGGGGGGGGGGGGGGGGGGGGGGGGGGGGGGGGGGGGGGGGGGGGGGGGGGGGGGGGGGGGGGGGGGGGGGGGGGGGGGGGGGGGGGGGGGGGGGGGGGGGGGGGGGGGGGGGGGGGGGGGGGGGGGGGGGGGGGGGGGGGGGGGGGGGGGGGGGGGGGGGGGGGGGGGGGGGGGGGGGGGGGGGGGGGGGGGGGGGGGGGGGGGGGGGGGGGGGGGGGGGGGGGGGGGGGGGGGGGGGGGGGGGGGGGGGGGGGGGGGGGGGGGGGGGGGGGGGGGGGGGGGGGGGGGGGGGGGGGGGGGGGGGGGGGGGGGGGGGGGGGGGGGGGGGGGGGGGGGGGGGGGGGGGGGGGGGGGGGGGGGGGGGGGGGGGGGGGGGGGGGGGGGGGGGGGGGGGACATGTAACCCATTACATCAGTCATTATTGCTATTGTAAATATCACGGTAATTACCCTCTCTCTCTTTCTCTCTCTCTCGCTCTCTCTTTCTCTCCCTCTCTTTCTCCTCTCTCTCTCTCTCTCTCTCTCTCCTCATCTCCTCTCTCTCTCTCTCTCTCTCTCTCTACCTCTCTCCTCTCTCCCTCTCTCCTCTCTCTCTCTCTCTCTCTCTCTCTCTCTCTCTCTCTCTCTCTCTCTCTCTCTCTCTCTCTCTCTCTCTCTCTCTCTCTCTCTCTCTCTCTCTCTCTCTCTCTCTCTCTCTCTCTCTCTCCCTCCCTCCCTCCCTCCCTCTCTCTCTCTCTCATAATATTTCTATTTAAACCTTGGTCTAGTCTTTTTAATGAAAAAAAAATATAGTTAGGATAGATAAGCTCGGTATTTTTTTAATTATATCTAACATGAAGAACTTTAACAAATGAATTCATAAGGTGAAGTGAAATTATGTTAATAATGATTATGGTGAGATAATGATACTAATTATGAGGATTCTCTATCAGTAATGACAACACTATTTACTATACATTTAATGGTAAATGTTTCTTGCTGAGTGTCCCGTACGAGAGAGAGAAGTAACACAAGCTTCATGTATTTACACTCTATAATAAAAAAACAGTTTTTTTTACTTTACAAGTGGATGTGAAAGTGTGGGCCCGGTTAGGAAAAAGCAATGTTCTGTCGTTGATTTCAGGCAACATTCCATCATCATTTAACTTTGCTAGTTCTATCTGTGTCTAATTAGTTAGAAATCTACCATTACCTACTTAGTAACAAATAGGATATTACCTAAATATACACAAATCAATATTACGTAATTTTCATATTTAGTCACAAATACATTACCCAATCAGTCACAAATAGAATATTACCCAGTTATTCTCCCACCCTAACATTGCCTCCAGAGTCATAAACAGACCATTACCCAACATCACCGTATCAATCTGCCCTCCCCCTAAAAAAAAAAAACATTTGTAATAACGACTAAGCACACTAACGACCCTTTCTCCTACCCATTCTCCCTTCCTCCCTGCCTCCCTTCCAGACGACAACGGTCACGGCCACGTGGACGAAGGCGGTGACATGACAGTGAACGGAATCCAGTGCTATAGAGGCCGATGTCGTGAGGACCGCGAGGGAGGCTATTGGTTCTGCCACACGGACTTCTCTGAGGCTTGGGACTACTGCTGTAGGCCGAGGGAGGTGTGCGGCTACTCCCAGGGCTATGATCAAAAGTGGTATGATTATTTTTGTATGTTTATAGCCACATGCGCGCGCGCACGCACACACACACACACACACACACACACACACACACACACACACACACACACACACACAAACATACATATATATACATGTATGTGCGTGCGTGTATATGTGTGTGTGTTTTATATATATGCTTATACATGTACATATATAAATTCATGATTATATATATATATATATAAACACATACATATATGCACTTATACACACACTGATATAGATAGATATATATGTGCATGTGCTTTAAATCGTGACATAATTATACGGATATATGTACATTGAATATATCGCAAACATACACTGATATACGAATACACCATAAATACAATAACAGAACTACAAAAAGTAAGACCCATAACACTAACCCCCCCCCCCTCCCCCCCCGCAGGTGCTACGTGGGCTCCGAAGGGCGGGACCAGTGGCGCCCTTGCAAGGGTCAGGGCCGCGACCGAGACTACCTGAAGGAGGAAGACCCGCCCATGTCAGCAGAAGCCACGACCTTTGACCCCTTCATGAACATGACCTCTCTTGAAGTGCTTGACCTCGGGGATATCTCAGGTTAAGAGGTCATGGGGTTTTATAAGGTTTTTTAAGTTTAAGGATTGTATTTTTTTCCTGTTTCTGGTCATTCAGGGTTTTCGGATCTTGTAGTGTTGTGTTTTGATTATGTGTTGATTTGTTGTTTATTTTTGTGTTGTAGTTGTGGTTATTTTTTTTCTTTTATAAACTGAACCGGATTTTTTTTCTATACGAGTATATATATTTTTTGGCCGATATTTGTGTTTGCTTGTTTGTTTCTGTATTTTTACCTTTTATTTTTGTTTTGTTTTTTTTTGTCTTTTTTTCGTTAAAAAATACGCAAAAAATGTGAGATTCCGAAATTCAAATTGAAGTCCTTCCTGTCTCCTTTTAAAGTCAATCATTTTTGAAGTCAATCATTCATTGATGTCCGATTTTTTTTTTTATCTGTTAACCGGTTCATGATCTTAAAAAAAGGAAAAGAAATATGTAACACTATAGTCGAGTGTAGACTATAGCGAGGTTATCTATTCTGTTTCCAGGAAGCTAATCTTAAACGATCATTGTTGAGGAAAAAAACAATTTTCTTCAACTCCATACAAAGGCATAATTATTGTCATATAAAAGGAATTTGCTGAACTTAAGGAATGCTTAGCAAGTATTTTAGTCTTGAACAAAGAATAGTATGCCATTTTTTCCTCATTTCAAGTGTTTAACAGCTGTCATTTCCTGACCAGGGAGTTAAAAATGCGAGGCTGAAGGTCAGAGCGCTCGAACAGGCAAACTAGAACAGCCCCCCCTGCTAATTTCTCGTTTTCTTTGGCCGTAAGCAGGTCATCCACATTCCATGCTACCGAATACCGCCACGATACTATTTTTTTTTTTCTTTTTTCTTTTTTTATCTCATCAAACTTTCTTCTTCGAAAAGACAGAAACACAATCCTTTTAATTTCATTGTCTTGTTCAAGTTTATAATATACATTTCCATGACTGTTTTCGCTGTCCTTTGTGAAGTTGTATTTGGACTATATATAAAGAAGCTCAGTTGGTTTTCTGTAGTAATGTATTAACACATAAAGCGCATCGCTAAGTCAAGGCCAGGCTTCATTTTCGTCTAAGAACTGCTATGAATAAAAAATGTAAAGCTTATAAACTTCTTAGATTATATAAAATAAGCTGAGATTTTGTCGAATGTGCGAATCATATCCAGCAGAGGCGGTGGGTTGCCACTTCGCCATTAGTATCACCCATATTTGGAGGTAGTTCAATCGACCATAAACATAAATTCTTCTTTAATTTCACAATCCGCTACAAACTCTTAGAACGAGAGAATCTTCCATTCAAATTACATCAAAAGTAAACGCAGTACACCCATACTCTTAGAGAAAGAAAAAGAAAAAAAAAAACCATAAAGAAAGAAAGAAAAAAACATGAAAGAGATACCTATGCAGGTCGTAACACATCGTACCTCAGGCAACACATTGAACCTGAACCCTGTAACCCGTTCGAAGATGGGTCAGCTGGCCACCACCCTACTGTAATATGTTCGTACTGTACCTACACCATAAGCCTACAGAAGGTAAGTCGTTTCTTGGTTGGCAATAGTGGTGTTAGATTCGGACTCAGATCCTCTTTGGTTTGCGTTGCGTGCTTGCGAAAAAACGAGGCGATTATTGAGTCGGTTGTTTACGTGTAAAGTTGAATTTGCTGTTTTTTTTATTGTTTATTATTAGAGTTATTGATGTTTTGAGGATGTTGGCGATGATAATGATAAAAGTAATATTAGTTATTTATTAAATTTCCTTTTTGAATGAATGGATTCTAGTAACAGCGATTATTTTCCAAATTTTATTTACATGCCGTTTGTATAGAAAACTGAACTTGGTTTTGATAGAGAAAATCATAACGGAAAGATAATTTATCACAAAACCGGTTAAAGACACTTCATTACTGATTTTAAAAAGGAGACGTCATTTCACATTCGTATGAAAAGTCTTACCATGTCTTACCTGTTACCATGAAGTAATAGGCCATCTTATTCTATCACAAGATCTTGCACCAACCCAAGGCAGTTTGAGCCAGATTATCATTATTATTATTATTATTATTATTATTATTATTATTATTATTATTATTATAATTATCATGATTTTTTTTTTCATCATTATCTTTACCATTATTCCTTGCTTTGACGTTGGATACACAGTAGAATACATTGAAAAGGGATTTTGACAGCTGAGTAAACAACCTGGGGAAGGTACGACTTAAAGCCTCTGTTGTTGATGTTCCCTTTTGATGTGCAATTATGTAACCTTAAGACCCACCGGTGAAGTTCTGATTATTTGAACTTCTTAAAATGTCATTCTATCTTTAAATATCTTACGTTCTTTTTTCCACCTTTTTTAATCATCTCATTTACTTAATTCTTTCTTGATTTGATATGTGATTTCTTTCCTTATAAGAAATTACATTATCGAGTTAATGGAATCTTCCAGCTAGAGCTAATGTTATTTAGCGTAATTAATTGATGGTTCTTATGCTCTTAGAACTATAATAAAAACACTTTCATAGGTTTTCATATGATTTTTTATATCGATAGATCAAATGCATAGGTAACAAAGCTTTATACTGTAGGTTAAGGTTTATTAAATAGTAAATGGAGAAAAGGTATTTACAAGTGTATTTTTTTTCTTTTTGAATAGATATTTCTTGTCGTAAGTAGCTCATTGGAAAGAAAATACAAGTAGACTATCTGACGTTGCTTCTTGTTTTGTAGAAATTGATGTAATAATTCTTGCAAAAATGTATATAGTGAATGATTCTGCCTTAAGTCGTAAGAATAATTAGATACACTGATAAGGTTTTCTTATTAGAGGAAGTAGATGATTATCATATTTAAGGAGGGATTCGAAAATTGTCATTATTTGCACCTGAGAGAAAATAAGGAAATCATTACCTTTATTATTGCTACTAATATTATTTATGGCTTATGATTTTTCTTAAAGAAAAATAGAGGGAATTATTATTACTGTTACTTTTAAGAGTTGCCATTGCCAAAGCTTTGCCATGAGCTGTACAGAGGCCTCATAATACCACAATGATATTCTTCGATGTACATGGTTTGGTACAGTCTACATGACGTTACAAATGCGTAAGAAGATAAGTAGTTTTAAGTAATGTTTCATTTTACTATCTGTGATGTTTGTGGTATTTTGTTAAGTTGAGTTTTTTCCCGTTTTTTTTATTATTATTAATTGTATGTTTGTTTCAATGTCGTACAGGGCATTACTTACGTCACTTGTATACTTTAGAAAAATATACCTGGATGTAGAAATATGTTTAAACTGTAAGCACCTTTTTTAATGAGGAAATGCAGCAATAATTTTGCAATATATATATTTTTCATTTTGTAGGCTAATAAAATGCTTTAGATTTTAAACTTGCTTTCATTTACCTGTTTTAATTACCTATGATTCTTTTCTACAGTGCTAATGGAGATTATTGTAACAATAATGTGGTTAATTATGATTACAATACTATTGGTTTATTGATAGTGATAATAGTGGCGAACTTATTTTGTGGTCTGCAGTGTTTTTGCAGTGTAACATGAAACACACACACACACACACACACACACACACACACACACACACACACACACACACACACACACACGCACACACACACACATACATATATATATATATATATATATATATATATATATATATATATATGCATATATGTGTGTGTGTGTGTGTGTGTGTGTGTAGTATATATGTACAAACACACACACACACACACACACACACACACACACATATAGTACATATATATATATATATATATATATATATATATATATATATATATATATGTATGTATGTATGTATATGTATATATATATATATATATATATATATATATATATATATATATATATATGTATATATACATATATATTAGGTGGAGGAGGATTATAATTATATGAATGATAAAAATGATAACAATGAATATAACAATAATGAAAATAATAAAAAAAAAAAAAAAAAAAAAAGATAAAATAGCAAAGATAATGATAATAATAACAGTATTAGTAAATTAATGATACAAATACAAAAGATAATGGAGATAATATCAATGATATTGACAAAAATTATAATGAAGATAGTGGTGATCATGGTGATAATATTGATAATGATAATGATAAGAATAATAACAGATAATGATAACAGCAATAATAATAGAGTAAGAATAAGAATAACAACAATAATGATATTAACAATGGTCCTCATCATTATCATCATCATAGTAATAATAATAATGATAATGATAATAGTAATAATTGATAGTAATAACGATAATAACGTTGCAATAGTAATAGCAATAGCATTGATAATCATGATAATACTTGCAGTAATAACAATGATAATTATAATAACAACAAAAAATAATATGAATAATAATGATAACAAAAACAAAAAAAAGGTACAGAAAGAGAACAAGGAAACATGGAACAAAAAAAAAAAAGCGGAAAGAAATCACATGCTTAGGAAGTCGGGCAAAAATATGAACAAAACAAAAATCATGAAAAGTCGTGACACCATCAACTTTTCTTTGGAGAGAAAACGCACGGAATGAAAGAAAAAAAGAAAATGAAAAAGAAGAAAGAAAACCTTCAACATTTTTATTTCCTATTTCATTTATCCATTTGTTTCTGTCAAGTCATGTTAGATATAATTGTCACGGGAGAGAGCAGGTATAGATTAGTTTCAATGTCCCCATTTTCTTGACGCGTCGTTGTTGTTGTCGTTGTTGTTGTTTCTGTTGCTATGATAGGTGTTGTAGCAGTAGCAATTGTTGTTGCTTTTGTTGCAGTTCTTGTTGTAGTAGTAACTGTTATTGTTATTGCTATTATTGTTACTGTTGTTGATTTTGCTGTTGTAGTAATAACTATTATTGATATTATTAATGTTACTGTTGTTGATTTTGTTGTAGTAATAACTATCATTGTTATTACTATTGTTACTGTTGTTGTATGTGTTGTTAATGTCGTTGTTGTTTATATAAGATTATTTACTTTAACCTGAGGGAAATCTGGCTATCACGCCGCACCACCAACCCTCAGAGGAAGTCACTCTTGATAGAAATATATAAGACAAGCTTCTAAAATCTGATCTAATTTTACGTATAGATGAGAATATAAAACAGAACATACTGAGGAGATAAATGAATAAGATAGATGTAGATGATAAACAGAGCAAAACACAATAAAACATATAACTTTTAATACTAAAATAGAAACATACATTACATATATAAGACATATTATATAGATACTTATTAACCACTTGTGCAAGAGGCTAAGAAATGTTCCAGTTTTAAAATAAGGACTATCGAAAGCACAAGTTAATAAACAAATAAACAAACAAATGATCATACACACAAACAAAGAAAACAGAGAGGGGGGGGGGAGCAGGAAGGAAGTTGGGCTGGGAGGCAAAATACCTAATATTAATATATAATGTGATTCAGTCTATGATATTTGCATATGAATTACAAATGTTGGTATTGTTACGCCCCGATGATTTAGAAGAGAAAAGTTCCCAAATTGAAATAAAAAGGACAGGAATTCAAATGGAAGATTCCCAAATAAATATATATATGTTAGGAATGTCAAAGAAATTCCCATAATGAAATGATATTGTTAGGAATATAAGAAAGATGTTTCCATATTGAAATAGGAATAAAATATAAATGTTAGGCATAGAAAAGAAGTTAGAAAAAATGAGAAATTAATACTGAAAATATATCGACGAGGTTCCCATAATGATATGATATTAATAAGAGCATAAGAAAAAATGTCCAAAATTAAATAAAAACATGAGAAAGATGTTTCATTTTTTTATATAATGAGATGAAAACATTAGAAATATAAAAAAAGAGATTCTTAGAATGAAATGAGAATGATAGGAACAGAATGAAATAAATTCGTTACAAATATAAGAGTGACATTTTTTTTATTTTTTTTTTTTATAAT